ATGTGAGGTTTATACTTTTTGTTTCTGCAGCGTTTTTCGGGGTGCTTTCGAGGAAACTCATTGCGGCAGGGAAATGAAAAGGATGAGGTAGTAAGATTAAAGGTGCGCCTAATAATTGAGATATTTTTTGTGGATTTGTCTTTTTCCGTATGAGTGGTGTGGTATTTGGCATAGTCATCTGCCTTTCACGTTTTTATGTTTTCACGAGGAAAATTCCTCGACATGAGCGTAATTGAATGTTGACAGAGAGTGGTGAAAATGGTGGGGACAAATGGGACAATCGGACTACGCGCCTGCTGCGTAATTGAATGTTGACAGAGAGTGGTGAAATGGAGGCAACTGCGTGTCCCAATTTTTAATAAAATGCTTTTTTAGGGTCTCGAATGATTAGATGTCGTGTAGACACACCGCACCATCATGGGGAAGCAATTGCTCCCCTCAAATTTTAATTTTTTTTTATTATTAATATTAAAAATTTTAATTTATTTCCTCTTTAAATTTGTTTTTGCACCCTTAGATTTTTAGTTTTAAACGTCACTCACCAAGCTAACTTGTCCACAATTGTCAATTAACAATTCAACACTTCTTTTATTTTACTATTAATTTTGTATATTAATTCTTATCATTCTACAATTTTAATTGACCCATATAAAAGACTTAACTCTCTTTAATTGCCTAGGCTAGGATTGGTATTTTTTGACTGATTACCAAAAACCGAACCGAACCGAGTTGATGAGAAAATAAACCGAACCGAACCGACTTATGTGTAACGGTAACCGAAAATCAGTTATCGAAATGTTATCGGTTTGGTATCGATTATGAACCCATTATGTCATGTCTTTTGCCCCCACTCAACTAATTTTCTGGTTTCGCCCCTGCGCACCTTGGTGGTTCCTGAACTTGTGACTATTGTCGAAGTGGTCTAGGCAGTTCCGCACCGTCGTTGTTGATATATTTTTTAATTTATTTTAAAAAAATAATGAAAATAATTCCTATTTTTATTTAATAGAAAATTATAAAAAGTAAAAAATAACAAGTATAACAAAAGGGGGTTGCTATTTGTTGCAAAAAAATAATAATAATAATAATAATAATAATAGTAATTGAAATTACATTTGTCCTAATAATAATGTTTATCCATTTTTACCCAAATTACTATTTTTACCCAAATTTCTATTTGTTGCTAGGGATGGCAATTTGGCTTGGATCCGGTCTGGCTTGGCCTGACCTGCAACCTTTGGGGTGGGTTGGACCCGCCCCGTTATCAAAACGGGCCAGGTCAGGTATGGCCCGTTCCCTAAACGGGCCAGGTCCGGGGCATAAATATTGGCCCGCCCCAATTTTTCCTGCCCCGGCTCGACCTGACCCGCTTCATAATGTAGTAAATTTGGGGTTCAAGGGCCTAAGGCACACTACACATGGCCCATTATCTGTCAATTCTATTTTTTCTCCCACAATTCACTTTAATTTTTTTCTCCTCACCTTCTCCCGTCAAATTACTTTTCTTCTCCCAACTCTCATTTCCCTTCCTATATTTTCTCCCTTTTATAATCTCTTTCTTTCTCTTTTGCATTCTTCTAATTTTCCTTCCAAGATTTATTCCATAGTTGCAGTTTTTCTCTTTATTTTTTCATTTGATTCTCTATTTATTCTTCTATTTACTAGTCATGCTCTTACAGATCCGCGGTTGGGGATTCCACCATGTTCCAAAATGGGGCTGAGAGGCGGCTGCCGCTGGCCGCAACTGGGATAGGGCTGCGGGCCAGACGGATGTAGTTGGTTTGCGTTGATAATAAATTAGGGTTTTGATATTTGATTTGCTTAATTTTTGTAATATTCATTTATAAAAAGTTATTCCTGTTTGTGTGAATTTGAAATTAACATATGCTGCATTTTTTTTTTTTAAATTTGGAACCTGACTATATGGGTTGTTTGTACTATCGGCGGAACCATTTGGGGCAGGACGGGTCGGCTCACCCCGACGCGGGCCAGGTCTCGGGCCCGTCTTAGTGGACCCGTTGCGGGGCACGGGCTAGGTCGGGCCACAGGAGTAGGGTCGCCAGGTTCGGGCACAGAACTACCCGGCCCGACTTGGCCCATTGCCATCCCTATTTGTTGCCCCTAAATTAATTGGACCCACTTTTATTAAAATCCACATCTTCACCAGCCTTCTTCTTCTTCACTTGTACCAAAATTCATATCTTCACCAATTTCCTTCTTCCTCTTTATTAAAAATTAACTCACAAATCTCCATATTATTCTTCAGCAATCAACATGTCTAGTAATCCAACATCATCGGGAACACTTGCAAATGAGGTTGATATAGGATATAATATCGACTCGAATCTTCCAAGGAACCAAGCAGCCAGTCCGGATTGGTGGCCCTAACTAGTTCGACTCACAGGACAATGGTTAATCCTCGACTTGATCTTAGAAGACCAAGATGTCGATTCGACCTTCTGGTATCCAACAAAGCTAGATGGATGAAAGCGAAAATCTGCCGAAAAACGAAATTTTGACCTGAGGACATAGATGGGACCTCGCGTGAGGTAAAAGGGATCTCTGTCTAGGAAACCATGCCATGCGGGGATTGGGCCACGTGTTGTAGTTATATTGGGTTGTCTGCACCCCTGACATCTAACATCTGAAGCGTCGCAGGCGCTGCAGGTCGTACGGACGGGAAAGAGGGGCAGCTGGGTCAACTCTCTGGGCAGACTTGGGAAACAAGACACCACTCCCTCATATAAAGGGGCGTGGTCGGTTAGTTTTGGGGTTACATTCTCTACACACTCTTATACACTTATTATTTTTCATCATTAACAAATATATACTGACTTAAGCATCGGAGGCTCTTCGCCCGAAAATCTCTTTCCAGTGTCGAGTTCTTGTAGGTGTGAAGCGGTTCAAGGTCGAAAGGGAAGCTGCAGAGGTCGAAGGAGCTACCTCTTCACTATTGTAGTCCAAACCCGGATTGAATGGAATCTATTTCACTATTATTGGTGCCGTCTGTGGGACTTTGTTCAAAAAGCCAGATCTGTAATCATGGTGAACGATGTTCCTATACAAAAATTGACACCTACGTTTGATAAAGCGTGGGTCAACACGAGGCCCTGGGGAGCAGGACCTCCACCTGGTTTTTCAACCGGCTCCCAAGATCCAAGGACCCGGACACCCAACAACGCAGGTGCAGGGAGCCCTCCGCTAGTTCCACCAGCCACCGTCGGCTCTAGTACGAAGGCAGGTTCCATTCAGACAGAAGTTGCCGTGATTGAACTCGTGTCGGGCCAACTAGAAGTTGCGTGAACCCAGCCTATGGGGTCCGCCTAGGAATCCTCCCGCACAACAACTCATCACGATGACCAAGGAAGAAGTTATGCGGATGTTAGTAGATGCTCAAGCTGAGGAGCGAGCCCAAATGCAGGCCCAACATGTCAGCCATCCAACTACGGCAACAAATACTACCACTCAAGCGATCAGACAAGAAATGGAGTTGGAGGTGTCTAGCAGTCGTGCGGTGGAAGGAGAGAAAGATCAAGCTTTGGAGAACATAGCTGAACAAATACGACAACTTCAAGCAAAGATTGAGGGGAGGAAGATAGGACTCGCACGAGGCCATCCATTTTCTCACGAGATCCTATGCGCTGACCTGCCTACGAACTTCAAAGAGGTTAGTCTTACATATAGTGGATCCTCTGATCCTTCTAGACATTTGCCCTGCTTTGAAAACATGTCGGTGTTGTTGGGCAATTCTGATGCGGTGAGCTGTCGAGCTTTCTTGGCGACCATGAGGGGAGGGGCACAAGATTAGTTCAATCAACTCCCCCCGGGGTCGATTATAAATTTTGAGGGGTTTTCGAGCTTTTTCTTGAACCAGTAACCTAACGCTATTGTTGGGTTCTATTAGGAACGTCGACAATGTGCACATTCAAATCTATTGGATAATAAATCCTAACGCAGCGGAATCTATAGTTAGGATTAGGACTTACGGTTTAAAATTTTTGTCGACTCTGAATCGTTTTTGATTTTCGTTGATGGAGATCGTCTGTCTACCACAACCCAATCGGTTGAAGGGTTTGGCCTTTGTCGACTCTAGTCGAGTGTTGAATCACGAACGGATCACCGGATCAAGTTGGTCGGGTTCGGATTGTGGCGGTTCGGGTTGCAGACAGATGCGCGTGCGTGTCAACTTTCCTATGCCTGGAAGGACTAGGCGTGCGGCGTCTGGGCTCACGCGGGTACATGGTCGGGACGTCTCCTATACGCGCGAGGAGTCCTGATCAGGCGAGGAATAGCGGGTGCGTGCGGGTCGCGTGCTGCGGCTTTCCTATGCCTGTGAGGACTAGGCGAGCAGAGTCTGTTTCATGCCGATTGTATGCAGCACGTTTCTTGGGGCGCGAGGAGTCCTGGTCGATCGAGGAATCCTGGTCGAGCGAGGAGTCCTGGTTGAGCGAGGTATGTCGGCGGCGAGTAGTGGCCAGAGTATTGGATCTTCAAGGTTCGATAAATATCACCTTAAAATCTTCTAATGGATTACCAAAACACCTACTTCGACTAATCTTGGTGGAGCGATTAATTGAAACTCCCTAACTCTCTATTGTGTATAAATCTCGATTTTCCTCTTCCTTATAGGAACCTTAAAATCGTGACTCACATGTACAAGACAAGAGGTTGGGACATGGTATATTTATAGGCTCCATTAGGGATCTTAAGGAGATGCCAAATATGGGCTTATCCCATTAGGCCAAGGAATCCTAATTCTACTTCACTTATTAATCCCAACTAGGTCATGATTCCTTTCTCCTAACATCACCTTCTAGAAGACTCTCAAGTCTTCTAACCCTAGGTAATATTCTAGAAGGAATATTCCCTATCTCATGGAATATTAAATAAGGAATAAAATTAATTCCTAAACTCCTAATAAAATTAAATAATAATATGTTCCACTGGAATATTATTATTGCTCTCCCCATTTGGCTCCAATTTAATCAATTAAATCAAACCTCCACTTGATTAATATTTATTAATCTTATTGATTGATTTGCCTCCCCATGTTTAAGATATAACGCCCATTGATTAATTAAATTACTTACAAAATAATTAATCAACTTCTTATTCATTTCCGAAACTAGTACCACTTAGATCTTTAATCATTATGTCGGATACACATCCGCCTGCAGGGCTTGACATAATATTCCTTCCTGAGCTCATCTCGGGGATGTCATCAATCCAACGCACTGGAACATAGTGACCATAAATAATTTATAATAGCGCGTCATATAAACATCCACATTTACCAAAGTACAGAGTACGTCATCCTAACGAAATAGGAATCACCCTTGGTAAATCAAATAAACAAGTAATGAATATACACGCTTATTTTATATTATCTTACAGTTTTAGAGAACGCATCAATGACTGAAGGTCAAGAGTACAACAACGATCAGTGAGTCTCATAATCTTAGCCTTCCACGGTCTTGTTCAATACTTAACATAAGTACTAGTGTAGTTCTCCAGTCAAAGATCAACTGAATCAAGAATACACTACAGTCTTTTTCCAAGTGGGGTCTCATTGTCAGTCTAGACTGTGAATAAATAATTTAGTCTTACAAGGAACCGATACGTGACCTTTCTATTCGAGACACCACGAACCACACTATCTCAATGTAAGACAAGGAGTATAATTGCATATAAACTGCAAGCATATGTACTTTGTCCGAAACATGATTGCAAGATCAAAATGGAATTGTTCATATCTGAAAGCCAAGCTTTTACAGCATATCTAACAATCTCACACTTATGCTTAATAAGCTCATGGCTATCACCAAACACAATTTTCTTTCAATCGAATTCTTAATGAATTGTTGTCCTTTCTGCCATACATCCGACTCCCAGTCCTTTAACATGGCCATCATCTGCTTTCGCTGGAAAGCCAATCCTAAAAGGATTTTACCAAAGTCTCTTGATGTAACTATGCGGCAAACGTCCACCCTGTCGCAGTCCTTTGCAACTGGTGTACTTGCTCTATGTGCCACTTGCTTTATGAACTAGTGATTCCTCTCTGTCTTAATTGCACCAACTGTCATCACAATCCATTGTGACCTGACTTGGTCTGACAAGGTTTCACATTTTTAGTTCAATGGTGAATCCAATCTCTACGTCGCTCGCCTTTTGGGAAGGGACACACTGAGTTTCTTATGGTGGAATTTGTCAACGTATTATCGTTTGACATTCCTGCATTCTGCTTGGCTCCCACAAGTGAACACAAACCATAAGGTGGCTTTTACTTGTTTTTTCATGTCCTGATTAGAAATCAAAATCTTTTGTATAGGTTGCTTATGGATCGTTTGGTAACTCTACATATTATCTTTAGCCCTTTTACGGAACTTGATCATATGTTCTACCTTGAACCAATTGCTCCTGTCTAGGATTACTTCGATATCTACTCATTATGCCCTTGGCAATAATAGACATCAAGTCTCATTTACCACATGGCACATACTAGGCTTCCTTTTGCCGAGGACAAGGAACTGCCTCTGTGTCATGCAAATTTCGAATGTCCCTTATGATAGTATCTGGATAATGAAATTCGGGATAATCACAACATATCTTTCTTGTGATCCTCAATCTCAAGAATATTTGTTGATTTCGAATCCTTCATATCCAACTACTAGGATAACCATACCCTTGTGTCTTTCAACACTCTCACACTGTCTCCAATGATCAAGATGTTGTCAACACATAGTAAAAACATACCACCACGCTTCCATTGCGCCACTCACGATGCTCATTTGTTGAATAATCGAATCCACGATTCGAACTTATCAACCAAATGTGCAGCTCATTATAATCCATAAATGAACTGTTTCAGTCTAGTGACTAGATGCTCTTAGCCCTTTTCTAATGAACACCCTTGGGTGCTGCTCATGGATATTCCCACAAGACTCCCGGTTAAGGAAAATGTCTTGACATCCACTTTGCCTAATCTCATAACTCATATGAGTGACAACAACTTTAAATTTGGCTACTTGTGAAAAGCCTAACTCATAATAGATCACATTCTTTCTGAGTTTACTATTTCTCAACAAGCCTTACATTTATACAGACTTAAACATGGCTACCGGTGAAAAAACTTACTCTTAATAGACCCCATTCTTTCTGAGCTTGTTATTTCACAACAAGCCTTGTACTATAGTCTTCACTTATAGATTTCGTCCGATAGCCCATATGCTACTAGGTAATTCTATAAGAACCCAGATCTGATTAGAGTCCACGACTCCAAATCAGAAATCATTAAAACTTTGCTAAGTCTCTACATCTTTGTCTTAGATCTACTTATTGTATAACTAGGGATGAATTCAAGTTTACTAGAGACTAAGTCCGGGACTTTTCTCAAAACATGAATATCATGATCTCATGTTTACTAGAGACCGATTCCAATGACTCTCTCATTGTCACGATTTCATGGAGTTGTTTTGCAACCCTCCTACTACAACGAGGTTCCCTGTGCAAAAGTGTATAGCACAAAATACGTGTTGCAGTCTTTATTGTGGTATCACATTTGTACACTTGGTAACAAAGTTGAACATTCACCTCCTTTATCTTTCCTCAAAACAATTCTACAAATGGGTTTGTGGTTTATTACTTAGTATTTCTCTAAAAATCAAGCATTCGTACTAACGATCACCTTCTGACTTTTATTACTATAATATAATCCACCCATTTCTCGTTACTATGAAGTATCCCATAAATAGCCTATTTTCCGAACAACCTTTCCAATCCTATTAGTATCATCCTTTCCAGCACGTGTGCCGAAACACTCTGAATCTGAATGTATTCCTGACTAGGCCTATGCCTTCGTACAATTCATTCAGAGTAATGACTACTAACTTATATGGAACTATGTTCAGAACTTACCATGCTATTTGCACAACTCCAACACGAACAAAAAATGAAATTCCTAATAACTCATACTTGACATAACCAATCTACTTAAAAGACTTTTTCCTTCGTCAAGTTACATCGTCCTGTTCCGATGAACTAGATGCAACCTGTTGAGACCATATCTCAACATCCAACAAGTGTTTCCATGATTTTCCAAAAGGTATTAGTCACTATGATTTCGATCGTAATGCCACTGATACATTAATCTTGACATTTTTCCATAACTGCCATTGTACTCTTTCAATGTACTTAAGCTTATGGAATGTCACTTAATGTACCGTGTCTTGAACAAACTTCTTCAAAGAAAAGTATTCATAACTACTTTTTTGTCCTAAAAATCATAGAACTTCACAAATCGGATGAATTAATCCTAACATATGTTTGGCTTCTAAATCCCTTGACCTACAAAAGGTCATTTATGTCATTTTAGCTACTAAGTATAATTCGTAGGTCAGATAGTTTCATCCACTCCCAAAGAACCCATAAGTTCAGTGGCTATCCACCTTTGAATTTTACTACTGCTAAAATTCTCAAATACTAGATGCCAAAAATAATGTATGATTCATTCATTGAAGGACCTTTCTTTTTATTGATTCTAGTTGATGTGCTATTTATTTCATCAACTGTACCTGTGAGATATTTTGGCTCATTGAGTTCATAAATTGTCTACCCACATAACAAATGGATAAAACGTCACATTTTTACCCATACCCAATTTAGAAACTGAACACGAGTTCTTTCTAAACTTGGTACGTGAAGACAATTAATCATAAATCAAAATTTCTATAGAAAACTCATTCTGAGATATTTTTGGTTCCTTTAAGTTTACAAACTGTCTTATTCAAACCAGCAAACGTAACATCCATGCACAAATTAGAGAACTCCCACTGCAATAGTCACCACTTTCGTAGCAAAACCCATTCTAGATGGTAATCTACCTATCACATGCCGATTGGTCTCCTGGAACCTTTTTACATAATTAGTGGTTACGTATCTATTCACCAGGTACTGATAGATAACACCATTAAAAATGTTTCGACTTTCTAGTGAATTAAGATTTACCTTTCTTGTCTTAAGAATAGGACAGTTCATCTTCATATGTCCATTTTGCTTATACCGGATACACTTGCATTTCGGCTTGTACTCGTCAGCAAAATAAGACACTATCCAAGTTCTATTTCTAATCATATTTGAACAAGTAAATTATCTTTGAGAATTACGGACAACGGATTACAAGACATTTTGAATTCCTGGGATCATGCAAACATAGTCTTTACTCAGTCAAGTGTTTTTGAATTTAACATCAAATATTGATCCCTTCAAAACAACATTTGAATAAATTCACCGACACCTCAAAACACCGAATCCCCGTAGGCCACAGAGTGTGGACGTCTACGGTTCAAGCCATCACAACAGGAGAGATTAATCCCATTAATTAACATACCATCCAAACAGTACTTAATTAATAGTCGGTTCATCTTTTGGCCAGCGCACTGAGTCAATGTGTCCCTTGTTCTTTATTAGAAGAAGGAAATTATTGAAATAAAAACAACCTTTTCCTGTGGGAATATCGTTTTAATTTTCACTTTAAGTGTAACCCATTAATTGGTACCAAGTTCACTACCAAAATAATACGTTCATCTGTGATGACCCGTACTCTTTTGTAATAGCTCGCTATTACCATCCCGAAGGAGATCTGTCCTTGTGAACTGTGAAATAAAACGTCTTGTGGGCTCGATTCAAATCACTTCACTAACAAACTTATAATGGAGGCCTTGGATGTAACTTATTTCAACCCATTACACACTTAATATAATTTTTATTTTAGGGATTTTATAAATAATGCCTCTAACAATTTAACTTGCACATAGAGCAATTATATCACATAAGAGCATGCATGATTAATAGGAAATAATAAACTAGGAACTATAATCCAACTATCATGGCCATTAATCAATCTCCAATATTACGGAGAAACACAATCCTGTCCTTTGTTGAATGTGTCTTCCGTTTCAGGAATTGGAACACCCCTTTCGCAGTGACTCCCACTTTTCATTCTGAATAGGTCATCTCCGGGAAAGTCGCCATTGGATCATCACCATGGCTTCCGTCTACGTGTTTATCGCCTCGGCCCGTCGAGGTTGGTCCACGTCCGCCAGTTCAATAATGAATAATATAAAACAACAATTACATAATTCATCATATGACCCGCGCAGGAGTCGTACATGAGTTTTCTATGAAAGCAGTAAACTATGCGGTGTCCCACCGCGCGAATAATTTATTACAAGCATTCACCAACTTTATAAAACGACATACATGAATTAAAAGAACGAATACATACGGGCCATAATAGTCGGATTCAAAAATACCTGCAAACAACACTTATTTGCAATTCTAATCTATTATGCGCTGCGCCTGTACACAATTAATTCACATATATCACGCAAGTCCTAATTTGAATAGTGCACAAAGACGAATTAGCCTAGGCTCTGATACCAGTTGTTGGGTTCTATTAGAAACGTCGACAATGTGCACATTCAAATCTATTGAATAATCAATCCTAACGCAGCGGAATCTATAGTTAGGATTAGGACTTACGGTTTAAAATTTTTGTCAACTCTGAGTCGTTTCTGATTTCCGTTGATGGAGATCGTCTGTCTACCACAACCCAATCGGTTAAAGGGTTTGGCCTTTGTCGACTCTAGTCGAGTGTTGAATCACGAACGGATCACCGGATCAGGTTGGTCGGGTTCGGATTGCGGCGGTTCGGGTTACGGACAGATGCGCGTGCGTCTCAACTTTCCTATGCCTGGAAGAACTAGGCGTGCAGCGTCTAGGCTCACGCGGGCACGTCCTCGAGACGTCTAATATATGCGCGAGGAGTCCTGATCAGGCGAGGAATAGCGGGTGCGTGCGGGTCGCGTGCTGCGGCTTTCCTATGCCTATGAGGACTAGACAAGCAGGGTCTGTTTCATGCCGATTGTATGCGGCACGTTTCCTGGGGCACGAGGAGTCCTGGTCGATCGAGGAATTCTGGTCGAGCGAGGAGTCCTAGTCGAGCGAGGAGTCCTGGTTGAGCTAGGTATGTCGGCGGCGAGTAGTGGCCAGAGTATTTGGATCTTCAAGGTGTGATAAATATCACCTTAAAATCTTCTAATGGATTACCTAAACACCTACTTCGACTAATCTTGGTGGAGCGATTAATCGAAACTCCCTAACTCTCTATTGTGTATATATCTCGATTTCCCTCTTCCTTATAGGAACCTTAAAATCGTGACTCACATGTACAAGACAAGAGGTTGGGACATGGCGTATTTATAGGCTCTATTAGGGACCTTAAGGAGGTGCCAAATATGGGCTTATCCCATTAGGCCAAGGAATCCTAATTCTACTCTACTTATTAATTCCAACTAGGTCATTATTCCTTTCTCCTAACATCACCTTCTAGAAGACTCTCAAGTCTCCTAACCCTAGGTAATATTCTAGAAGGAATATTCCTATCTCATGGAGTATTAAATAAGGAATAAAATTAATTCCTAAATTCCTAATAAAATAAAATAATAATATATTCCACTAGAATATTATTATTGCTCTCCCCAATTGGCTCCAATTTAATCAATTAAATCAAACCTCCACTTGATTAATATTTATTAATTTTATTGATCGATTTACCTCCTTATGTTTAAGATATAACGTCCGTTGATTAATTAAATTACTGACAAAATAATTAATGAACTTCTTATTCATTTTCGAAACTAGTACCATTCAGAATTTTAATCATTATGTCGGATACACATCCGCCTGCAGGGCTTGACATAATATTCCTTCCCGAGCTCATCTCGGGGACGTCATCAATCTAGCGCACTGGAACATAATGACCGTAAATAATTTATAATAGCGCGTCATATAAACATCCTCATTTACCAAAGTATCGAGTACGTCATCCTAGTGGAATAGGAATCACCCTTGGTAAATCAAATAAACAAGTAATGAATATACACGCCTATTTTATATTATCTTACAGCTCTAGAGAACGCATCAATGACTGGAGGTCGAGATTACAACAACGATCAGTGAGTCTCATACTCTTAGCCTTCCACGGTCCTGTTCAATACTTAACATAAGTACTAGTGTAGTTCTCCAGTCAAAGATCAACTGAATCAAGAATACACTACAGTCTTTTTCTAAGTGGGGTCTCACTGCCAGTCTAGACTGTGAACAAATAATTTAGTCTTACAAGGAACCGATAGGTGACCTTTCTGTTCGAGACACCACGAACCACACTATCTCAATGTAAGACAAGGAGTATGATTGCATAAATAAATAAACTGCAAGCATATGTACTTTGATCGAAACATGATTGCCAGATCAAAATGGAATTGTTCATATATGAAAGCCAAGCTTTTACAGCATATCTAACAGCTATAACACCGGAGAAAACTTACCTGACTCTGATGGCTATGAGGCAAAAGGAGGGCAAATCCCTGAGGAGTTACGTTGATAGTTACAATAAGGCATGTAGTAGCTCCTTGGCTAAGAAGGGGGCCATGACGTATGATGAAGTCCTGAGGCAATGTCGAAAATATGTAAGTTTGGAAGAAACGAAAGATGAATTCTAGAAGCTCGAGAAGTAGGGGAGGGAAAGAAAGAAAAAACGAGTTCACCAAGACGGGAAAGATCAAGAGGCAGGAAGGAAGATTGAAGGGAAGATAAGTAGGGCGAACGACTGCTCAGTATTGATTTAAAATTTGAGAAGTATTCCCCATTGAAGACCCAGATGGCGGAGGTTCTACAAGCGATTGAGTAGGGGATTGACTACAGGGTCGTCACGTAGCCCAGATCCAGAAGAGAAGGGCCTACAAGGCAAAAATCTAGCCAATATTGCAGATACGACCGTGACTACGGTCACACAACAGAGGAGTGCCGACACTTGACAGACGAGATCGAGAGGCTCATCCGAGCAGGGCATTTGAAGGAATTTGTGTACAAAGACAAGGAGAAGAGACAATGTCGAGAAGACACATATAGAACTGATAGGGAGGATGAGGAGGACGACATGGAGGAATATGAACGTCAGGGGGCTCGTAAATATAGAGGTTAGAGAGGTCGAGAAAAAGAAGATGGGGAATTTGGGGAGGATAGAGCTCCACTAAAGAGAGGAGTTATTCACATGATATCGGGGGCCCCCACTGATGGTGACACCAACAACGCCCAGAAAAAGCATACTCAAGGGGCAAAAATGAAAAGAGAGGAGGTCGGCATAATGACCCAAGCACCGGTAATCAGCTTTAGGGCCGAGGATTCTCAAGGGGTACACTGTCACACCCCGCCTTACTAGCTTTGAAAAATTAGAGTAAAATTTTTCTTTTTATTTTTGAAAGGTCGTGCGAGCTCGGTTTTCGAAAATACTAACTTGTTGCGGGATGTCACAGATAAAAACTTAACTTAACTTGCTCACAGACATAAATGAAAAATGCAACCAAGCTATCCGCTGCGGATAATGGAATTAAACATGCAATGTCGGAACTGTCTCGTACAGTCTGGTCTGCTAGCGGAAGCATCCGAAATACAGAATACATGCTTACCTGACTGAATATAATACATGATCATAAACTAGGACATAAAAATGTGCGTAAAATATGTCCACTCTCATGACCACGCTTCGCCACATCTGTGCTCATCCGTCACGCTCGACTCCGTCTCCTGAAAAACACAATGGGGACGTGAGCAAACCACTATTCTCCACAAGACCAGTACTAAATAAAATATCATCTATAATAACGTGTCATGAACATAAATATATAAGAGCTGAAACTGTAAACTTTTCTTTTCTTTCTTTTCTGTGGTCAAAAGACCCTCGGCCCTTAGGTCGGCCGCTCGTGTGCACACGCCGATGGGGTATAAAGGCCCTCAGGTCAGCCCTCCACCGGTCATCAAATGGGATATTTAAGCCCTTAGGTCGGCCCCCACCTGGATACTAACTGTCTCAAACATACCTTTTCCATGGTATAGATATTATCTATGATGTGGAATCCGGTACATGACCCCCACCTGAAAACTTGGAATCTGATGCAAGTGCTGATACTGGGTAGCGGTCAGAGGCTCGACTCTCCTTAGACTACATAAATATTTAAGTAAAATAATGCTAAGTATAATGCTCGGAATATTAATTATATGCTAAATGCTCGGACTTATCTACGCGATTAAACTGGACTGGACTGGCTCGGGAAAATACTAAAATTCCGAAAAGAGACTCAGATCAGAAATCACGAATCAAAACTGACTCGAACCGCTGGTCGAACCGGCCGGTTCGCCGACTAGCCGGACCGCCGGCTCGACAGAACCGGGCGGTCGGGC